ACGTTTTTCAGTTTTTATAATGCTCTATAATTTGAATTGAAAAATATAATGTTGGTAACTACAATTCATTAGAATTGCGTGGAGATTTGCATAATATCTCATAATTTAAGTAACAAATTGAGTAGGAAATGCTGAAATTTACAGGTTGCGACAAATTTATTTAGATATAGATGATTAATTTAAATAAGATAGTTTGTTAGTAAACGATTTTAAAGTTTCTCAATATGCTTATATTTATACGTAGATATATTTATGATTTTTAAATTTTAGAACTAAAAACCTAATTGAAAAACAAACATGCAACATTAAACAATTGTCTATGTTTTATGGAACTATTGCAACTGATTTTTCGTAGTTAGATGAAATAGAAACCAACTACATTACAACAAATAGCAGACATGAAATAAAAAAAATAAAACAAAGATCAGCAAAATTTCTAGCTAAATTTTCAGCTCCCCAGAGAATAATATAATCTCAATTGTCTTTATATATATCTAAGTTTCAAAATTTTATGGTCAATGCAAAATCCTTTAGTTATAGGATGCGCATCATTTGTCTTTGAATCTCTTTATCTACCAATTACAATTATTACCAAATTGAAGAAAAAATTCTGGAAATGAAAAACAGAATGTATGGCTAAAATGTTATTCCAGAAAAGCCTGAGCCTTGTCAATATAAATATGTTAGTACAATGCCTTCAATGCGTTTATATAAATAAATAAAAAACTTTGCATGTTCGTATATTTATTCGCAGGACATAAATGCCTTTATGTGCTCTAAAGGGACCCGGAGCAAAACCCAGGGCACATATAAATACTGAATCGGTCGTTACATGTAATTAGATAGTCTTGGTGAAATGTCGACCTTCTATTGTTTATGAAGCAATTATTTTCAGGAAACTGATCACTATTTAATGTAGATATATATATATATATATATATATATATATATACTTGGTATTTATTCGAAATGATGGCTTCTTTATTAATTTCAGCATAAAGATTTTACTTAGTGCCCCATAGGTTTTCTGCATTCCACGTCGTTTTTATTTCAAGTAAAGTTGAAAGTTTCAGTGAAAGAACCCATTGTTGGTGCATTTTCATGAGCTTCTACTTGTTTAAGAAATTAAGACGATTTAAAAAAGTGGTTTTATTTCAAATGTTAAAGGTCTCACCCGCATTCCAAGTTTTTGTTTTTTATGTACATGCACTGTATTATATTGTGCACATAATTTGTATTTTTAGAGATTTGATGATTTTATTATTATAATTTATCTAATAGGGTTGACTTTTTATTTGAGCAGCAATGCCGTTCAAGGGCTGTTTTCACTTGAAAACATATTGCTCGTGAACATGTATATGCGTTCTAAATTGTTTTTGTCTTGTTTACCTCATAACTTGTGGATTATAATTTTCAACATTTCTCAAACATTTCCATGACTGTATTCTGGTGTTCCTTTTTTGTCCTCTATGCCTATTTTCTGCTATTTAAGCGAAAGTTGTGCATCATTATCATTTTTCTTCGTTCTGGTCATTTAGAACATATTTAATATGTATCCAATCCGGTTTCCTTTTCTATCTACAAAAACAGCCAGCAAAGTACATTTTCTGCCATCTTTACAGTAGTGGTCAGACCAATTTGTTTTCTCCAGCACTACTAGCAAGCCTTATCCAAAGTCCATTTTCTCTGATATAACAGATGTATTATTTTATATGTGCTTTTTATTTCTTTAATATATGAAGGTCAATTTCGTCTAAAACAACAAATATGAGGCAGGTCGGAACACAAGATCCATTGTTGATTTTAGTAATTAAACAGTGAAGGGCAAATTAAATGCATCACTACAAATAACATGTATCAAACAAACAACTATCGTAGTAAAATTCCCAGATACATACTTCATCGTTATTGATATTTTTTTACTTTGTCATCTAGTCCTTTTGACCCCATAGGCGGGGAAAAATAACAACCAAAAAGCAAAAAGTTCAATATTTTATTTTTAAGGTTAAGGAGGTTTTGCGTTACAATAATTTTAATGAATTGTTACTGCTATCGCAAATTTTGCTTTGGTAGGTATTTATATCTAATTTACTATAATCAGACTTATACTATTGCATAAAATACAAATATCAAAAATACAGTGAAATAAATACAACTTTTGCTAGAAATGCATACTTATGGCCTTATTTTTTACAAAGATCGCACTGCATCTAACCTTCGTATGAAATTTAGTCAGAACACTTTGTCATTAGAGTTGGAATAATATTAATTTCATTTCTATATCAATATTATTAATATTTTTTAAGTTTATATAATAGTGCAATATATATATTTATATATATATATATATATATATATATATATCGAAATAGCGATGCACATGTTGATTTCCAATTCTCCAACCATTATTGGATTTTAATAGAACATGGACTATTACCTGGAGATTAGTTCACATTATCAATCCAATTCAATATTGTTGTGTAGACAATCCGGTGCTAAACACTAGATTGTGCAGAATACAAAGCATTCGTATCCTGCTAGAAATGTCACAGTCCCTTGATCAGTACACGGCAATGCATTATTTATCACCAGGGATTAAGGCAAAGGCCTGGCGCACGTGCGCGATTTCAGAGCGGTTTGATCTCTCTGGACATCCAGGATCAGATGAAATTGACTGAGAATATTCTAAGGCAATTTGGTTTGGTACATGTAGAGCTTTGATAATTGTCATAGAGTAAAATACAATTATCATAGAGTAATTCAATTCCTAATACTTTTTGTATGATTTTAAATTTCAACTCTTCAGAGGAGTCTTTTGTTTTTGCCAGAAAATCCTACTTGCTAATTTTATGTTTCCTCAATGTTTTGGATTATCCTTAATTGTTTGATATCAAAATTAGAAAGCGTATGTGTGCTGATATGTGTAAGTGTATGTAGATATGTATGTATGTTTATGTGAGCCAACCTATTGTAGAAGATTTCTCAAAAACAGATGCACCAATTTTGAAATTTTGATTTTAAGCCGAGCCGTTTCTGTACAATTAGCAGAATAATGCAAACAATTTGCAATAATGCAAGCAATTTGTCGACGCTTGTGCTAAGAATCCTGAACCAATTTTGAAAACTTGGTATGTATAAAACCAAAATAAAAACTTAGTTGGTATTGGTATTTTGCCTTGAGGCAAGTTACGTGAACTTCCCAATATGTGTAAATAATCGACTTAATCAATAAAAATAAATTAATTTATGAGTTATTAAAAGAATTCCGAGTGGATTTATTACATATAATTAAAAACGAATAAATACGTTAACTCGGAGTATTCTCTAAAAGCAAATTCTCAAAAATCAACAATTTTTATAATTGAACCAGTTTCTGTAACTCTCTAATGATTTAGTGTGTTCATCAAGACCAAGTACTCTATCGTTATACCAAGTAAATCGTCTAATTTTAATTTTAACAAACGTCAAAAAACTACTCATTTTCTCAAACTTTGATGAATTTTTAAAATTAAACTACTTGTCGTAAGGCCGTAATATTTCAATAAGTTCTATAAGACCATGATTATATCGCCCGAAGAAGTTCCATGAAAATCGGCTTAAATTCTATTTTCAACAGTTAATTACAAGATAACAGCTCGGTAGATTTTCACATAAGTATTATTCAGTATCATTTCTGATTAATATTAAATTTTTGAAATAGGTTCAGCCGTTTTTGTGAAAACGTCGATTTACGGCAAAAAATCTGTTCACATAGAAACACACACACACTTACTTATACTTTTTCTAAATTTTAGCGAATTGAAATTTTTGATGAGAACAAATTTTGGAAAGTTAATTAAAAGGCTGTTCGAAAAATTATTATTTGACAATTGTGCTGATTAGTTTTTGGTAAAGATCGGATGGACCATTATTAATATAATCTATAATTTTTGTATGTTTCTGTATATCCTAATATTTTTAATACAAATTCATAAAAATTCTTAACAAATTAATCTTATTATCAAATATTATAGTCCAAATATCTTTCATATATATTTTTTAGTATCATTGTTTTTTCTTTGCATCTAAATGTCAGTACCAATCTTGTATCTCCAAAAACTTCTCCCAAGATCAACTTTGCATAAACCAACAACAAATATTTGAAGACCAAACGAGTATGTAAAAACCTTAACACCCTTTACTTGTTTCTGAGAAGTTCAGTATTTTCTTGGCGTTTTATTTAAAATAAATCTTGACATAATCGATCCTGAGTGACCTTTTGCTGTATTTTATCTGATAGGGAACGATTTGGGACAGATTTTGTATATAAATTCAATGAAGTGTCGAGTTCTTATTTATTCTTGGTGAAGGAATAAAAAATCGAGATTTAAATAAGGGATTCATTTTAGCACAAAATATGTTATAAATTACTGTCCTGTATTAGTTAGCCATTGTAAAAAAATATTTTTAACTGTTTTGAAAAGGACTGTTGCAAAGGACTAAGGATTATGCACTGCCCGAAATTACATTCCTGAACTTAGTTGGGTCAATTTCAGATCAATTCAAGAATATTTAGTATATTTTTTCCAAGATTTTTGTTTTGTATCATTTTGATATACTTTACAATATATGATTAGTGCACTTTTGTTGTTTGTAATGCATGTTCATAAGTTTGCTGAAATTTTACACAATCTCTAAAAAGTCACTGGTTAAAAAATTATCCAGGTCTCAAAAACTACATAAAAAACGTATTTCTTTATAACTTACTTCTAAATTCATAATAAATATACTTACAATTTTACATACAAAAATAATTTATGGTTAGTGGGTATAAAAGCTGAAAACATGGTTTAGAATCTAGAATGTTGCGATATTGTATAATTTCTTTATTTCTGTCTCGAAAATATTAAACTTTTTTTCAATAATAAAATATAATTAATTTTCTTTAAACATCTTTTATTAGGAATTGATTTGTATACAATATTTCTAAAACTTGAAATTATTCAATTTTAGGTACTGAAACTAAAAATGGTTCCAGGAGCGAAACATAATGCAGTAAAATAGAGACCTGCTAGAAAGTCCTGCAATACATATATAAGTGAGTACTTGCATATATACAAAATAGATTTAGAAAAAAAATAGTGTTTATTGTTGAAACTATATTCTAAAAGACATCATTATCAACTACAATTTTTTTTTTACTTGATATTGGCTTTCGGGGTAAACTCTTAGGCGCGAGAAGGAGAATGAATGTAAGCAAAACCTACTAGTAAAACTTATTTTATTTTTTGTATTTATATTTTATTATATTTTTCATTAGGGAACTATCAAGTATGTTACCATTTCAACAAAAGTTAGTACATTTTTTTAAAAGAGAGCCTCTCAAAGTCCACCAATTTTGAAAATATTAAATTCAGAGTTTAACAAAAAGTTTTACTTATTGCAACCTTTGGGCAATTGTGTTATTTAATTTTGACTGTAATCCAAGGAATGTTATTTATGGATTAAATTTTTTATTTACATTTCGAATTACAATCTGTCGTTATAAACAACATTCAGTAATTTTAATGGTTATTCAATAAGGGAAAAAAGTCGAAAGATCACCCAGTGGTGATCCTATTCGATGTTGGATATGGATATGTTTTTACAAATGTAGTCCTGATGTAAAAAAAATTAATAAAGCATACGAGTGATTATAGGATTATACATATTATAGGATTACTAAAGGATATCAAAAAGCAGCCGTTTTCTTCTGAGCCGTTCAATGCCACGGTTTTTAATTAAGTTTTTGGCCATGATGTTTGGGTGGTTTTGTATTCTGTCCTTGTATCTCAGACTGAATTTATCAATTTCTTCCTTAACTGTGTTCATGTTCAAATCTGCATAAACGAACCAATTTGGGATATACCAGGGTTCGTTTTTTTTTTACAAAATCTTGTTTTGAAATCTTTGAATTATGGCGATGTTGTATTTGCGTGTCGTTTCCCAAAGCTGTATTCCGTACGTCCAATTTGGTTTTAACATGACTTTGTACAGAAGAAGTCGATTCAAAATTTGAATGAACTAAATCAAGAAAATTCACATTGATAACCGAAAAAAGGTCAGTTTCACCAAAACTTTACACTGGTAACTCATAATTTTCAAAACTACACGTATTATTTTTTTTTCATGATAGTTACGATCAATGCTATCACCTCGTTTCGTCTCTGACGTTGATTCCGCTATGTCCTTAGAGATTATTCTTAAATATCCTATTAAAACGCTAAAAATATCATGTATTCAGCATTCTCTATCCATAATCTGGCCACAGATCTTTTATAGTATAAAGCCGTAAACATAAGATTAACGCTTTCCAGCGAATGACCCATTCTGTCATAAAACGATAAAACTCGGATTGGATACGTACAACCTACAACAAATCAAAAGGACACGGAACGCAAACGTTTTTCACATAAATCCCCGGAAAAGTGGGAAGAAAAATAAACCATTACATCAAGTCTTCCATAACACGTACCATGAATTTGAATAAAAAACCTACGGAACCGCATGTGTGCACGGAATTGCTGACTTACAGATTTAGATGATAATGACAATTGTGACACAAATGCGAGAGAATTCATAAATAAACTTGTGGTGTAATGCAACTGGCCTTAAGGCAAATTGCTAGAACTTCCTGGAACTTTAAACGTTTTCAAATAGATTATTATAAATACTAACATTGTCTAATATTTAAATAAAAAAAATCTCCAGAATTAATTGTTTTGTCAACACAAACGGAAAGTTATGAATCATTCAAATCGAATGCTTAGTTCTCTCAAAAACTGCCATTTTTTGCACATTTAGCCAAAATGTTCAGAAACCTCTAAAATGTGAAAATATGTTAAAATATTCATTTTATGTTTTTGGCCCATTACTAAATCATCTTACGGGAAGTTAACTTGGTATAAGTGGTATTTTGCCTTTAGGATCAATAATGAGATTCAAATATTTAAGTAAAATTGTCAACTGTTTGTTTCAAAAATAACATTTTTGATTTCACTATAAAATAATTAATTTGTCTTTTGACGAATTGACGTCTTTTAAACATACTTACAATATCTGAAATTGCATAAATTAAACTATAATCAGTAGCTACCGTCGAAACATCATAGCTCATATGATTTGGCATAGATTCGGATGAGAATTGCTTAAACGCAAAGCAAAACTTTTATGATTTTTTATAATTCAACTGCTTATCGTCGGCCTATAATATTTGAGCATGTTATTTCAGACTGCGATATCTATCGTCATACAAAGTTTCATCAAAAATAAATTTCACATATACGCATACACATATTTTTCCAAAATTGGCCTCAAACGATTTGGAATTGCTTGAAACGTCTAGAAAACATAAAATTATCAAGTCGAAATTTCTGGGGGCTTCGCGAAGAACATAAAATTCTTCTTCGAGAATTCAAATAAATTTGTGTATAAATATATATATATATATATATATATATATATATATATATATATATTGCAAAGTTGCTTTATCAGAAACATTAAAGTGAAAAATTAATTAATTTTCATAATTTTGACCTGAATTGTTTCAGAGTGTATGCTAAAATACAGGACACAATTATAAATTAAATTACAAAAATAAACATACAAAAGCTACGTGGAACTGTAATTCATATATTGGAAAACGATTTTAATTATTCCAGTTGTTAAAACTGATTATAATTCACGATTACCTCTGTATAGAATTTGTATCATACCTAATATAAATCACAAAATAAATATTTATTATTATTTGTGCTAGAATTTTCTACTAAATATTGAGACTCTTGCCAGTCTCCAACCAGTTATAAACTGGTAAATCATTTAAAATATTGTCATACCTGCACAAAATATTTTAGTCTGCACAAAATTTGTCACAACTGTACCCTATGCACATTTTTGAAAACAAATCATCGTTATAACTGAACAATTTTTTTATTTATTTCTACAGTACTACTATATTTTTATAAACGTTTAAATAAATCCTTAAAACTTTCTTTAACAAACTTCAAAAAGATTTAACAAAATTCGAATAAGCGGGTAGGAAGAGTTTCTATACATACATCTGTACAGAAGAATTATTAGAATATATATATATATATATATATATATATATTTAAATTATAATTATTCAAATTATTAATAAAAATATTAAAATCAGCGGTATACAACACCCATGGCTGGTGTTTCCTATACTTCGTACCTCGTCCAATATTTTATGCCCGCGTTATATGAAGTTATTGTTAAAAAGAATTTACAATGTTGAGTATATATAGCTATTTTATATTCTCATAAAGTTTATGAAATGAGTAAAATATTGTTAGCGGCGTTCATCATTGACTTTGCTTGGGAACACAATCATTTTCTTCTTTCCATCACGATTAGGTTTGCGGAGAAAAATTGTAAAATATGTATCCATCTATAAATATGTCATTTTATATATGTCTTATAATTATCAATTTTTATTCGATAAATTAAGAATCGATAGATTAAGATAAATTTGCAAACAATTTTATATAATATAAATTTCATCGTGATAAAGATAGATCAATTACTATTCTTTCCAATTTATCACAATATCTTTATATTTAAATTAATCGTTTCCTTAGCCACTTACAACGTGGAAATAATTACTTTATTTAAAAAGAACCGTTTTAGCGACAATTCTTGACTCAATTAACTTCAGTGGAAATTCTTTGCAAGAGTTAGTAATTATCAATTACTCTGAGAACTTTTATAAAAAAGGCATTGACGTGGAAGACTGAAGAGAGATGAAGTTTAACTTTTGAACAAAATTGTTTTATATCATATTATTAAATCATAGACAATGTTCTTGAAGCATTGTGAGTAGATGTAAAATAAAACCAAATGAAAACTAGTTGGAATTGGTATTTTGCTTTGGGGCAAGTTACATGAACTTCCCGATATGTGTAAATGATCGACTTAACCAATAAAAAATAAATTAATTTATGAGTGATTGAAAATATTCTGAGTGGATTTATTACACATAACTGAAAACGAACACAACTCGGAGTATTTTTTAAAAGCAAATTTTCAAAAATCAATCAATTTTATAATTGAACCAGTTTCCAAGTACTCTATCGTTATACCAAGTAAATCGTCTAATTTGAATTTTAACAAACGTCAAAAAAAACTACTCAATTACCTCAAATATTGATGAATTTTTAAAATTAAAGGTTGTCGTAAGGCCGTAATATTTCAGTAAGTTCTATAAGACCATGATATATATCGCCTAAAAAAGTTCGATAAATATCGGCTTAAATTTCTTTAAACAAATATTAATATCTATCCCCTGATATATTTTAACCTTCAATTATCATGTTGAATTTGAAATCAGCTTTTTATATTTTTTACATCTGATATCTCTAATTAGTGTTTCATACAATGTTTTCTTACAGAGTAATTCTTATGCTAGTCATAATGTTGCATAGTGCATGCCTGAGAGTCAGAATTCGTAGGAGATAGTGTAGTAAATGGGTTAATTGGCAAGAAAATAGAGGAGACCGGGAAGAATTTTTAATATCATTCGTAGAAAATCAATTTTTAGACTAGCTGATGTTATAATAAGAAACATATTTTAGGAAATCATATTTTTATGGAGATTCAAACGTAGGTAAATCAAGTTATACATTTTTTACAACAAATTTCGAAAAAAATTCAAAGAAACAAGTTTGTTTCTCAGAACGTAAGCGGGGTCATTTCGTTTGTATATTATATTTTTGTTATAAAAGTTTGATGAATTGCTTAAAATACGAAGATTTTTTTATTTGATCAGTGTGATCTGCTAGTTTATCAAAAACTAAAGCCATATAGAATCAATCGGGTATCATGAGTAATGTTTATCAAAATTGTGCTTGTTTTTCTTGACATCATATGAAGAGAAAGATAGAGATTGTCTATAAAAAATATATAAAAAAATTCTTTATATAACTTTCTTATTTCAAACTGAAAATTTTATTTGGTATGCAATAGTATTATAGACTCACATTATTACTTATTTATATTTTTTAGGTCAAGTGCAGTATTTTTTATATTTCC